GAGAGAGAGAGAGAGAGAGAGAGAGAGAGAGAGAGAGAGAGAGAGAGAGAGGCATCCATTACAGAGGGGGCAGTGTGTGTTTGGGGGATGGCTGACTCGGGTAAATATATTTAGAGTGGAAGGGTTTTTCTTTATGTATGTCGTATGCTGGGGAAATTGGGTATAATTAAGAAAGATGTAATGTTGTATGTGTGTTTTTTAGAGCTTCCTGAGCAGCTTCCAATGGTAGCTGGGGGGGAATCCAAGTGGGGGTGGCTGGGTTGCTGAACATTCGGTGGGTTGAATTACAATCTTTTTGGGTTTGTTTTCTGTTTAGTGGCAGTTGTTTGTGATTACTTATGTTTTCGTTTTCATTTCTTATCCAGTTAGTGGGACGCTGCCTTGGTCTGTTGTTTTGTTTGTTTTGCTTTAAATAGTTTGAGGCCGATCTTAGTGCACGGTCTGTGAACTCCTCCTGCCCGCTAAACCAGCTGTCACTGGTTGCTTCACACAGTTAGATTTGTACTAATAAAAGATTTATATTTTTATAACACTGCTTCTTGTGTGTACGTGCCTTTACGGTGTTTTGAACCCGATTTCTGTGGTAACGGGGTGCTACAGTTACTCTACTCATCACCGTGACTGAACCACAGTGATTGCTGCTGGGGTAAATGAGTAAGACTCGGTGGAGCAGGATTTCCTGCGATGAATCAGTTGAGCCTCATCAGGCAGAGTTGCCACCAGCCCACAAGTGATAAACGCCATAGACGTTATACTGCCAGCATGGGCAACAATAAATGGCATTTGTTTCTTGCTTTGTTGGACATTTTCAAGAAACAAATGGGAAAACTTAACTCCCACTCCTATGGAAACAGATGCAGCACCCAGCGGTGGGTCGGTGCTGCTGTCCCATCAGCTGTTTGGAGTAAAACAAAGCCACCATTATGGTGTGCTCTTCCTCTCGCTTCAGGGTCAACGGAGTCGCAAAGACAAATTGTGTTGAGTTATAATACTTAGGTAATACATTTAAGAGGACTAAACTATTCCCCAAAATTATTAAAATATCAAACCTAAAATACAAAAAAAACTCACTATTGAGTACCACAGAGCAACTAAAATACTATCACAGTGACCTGTATGAGTGACCTACATTCACACATTTTACATTGATTCACCGCTGTGCTGCTGTCAAAACCACCGACATGCTCATAAAGCTCAGCGGACTCTTCTAAACTTTCCCCTCAGTATCTTCACACGCGCTACCACTTCAGATTTCAATAAAGGCGGCACGCGTGCTTTGTGTCACACATGAGTTATCACCATGATGTGTTGAGATTTACGGTTTCTGGAGGCAGAAAGCGCTACCTTTTTTTTACGCTTAGATTCCAATGTAAAGTATCAATTTATCACAATTTGAATGGTTTCCACTGAGTGCTCTGTGTGACAATCGGAAGATTGTATTTGATGTTTTCTGAGGGCAGACTATTAATCAAAATGAGGACAAATATGAGGAATAAAATGAGGTCATTTTAAACACGTTTGCCAGTGAAAATACAGTTTGAAAAACAGCACTTCTAGTATTCTTTCTTTAAAGTTTTTTTTTCGGACGCACCACGCTCGAAGTTGGCGCTAAATTCAATTCCCAGCGGCAGTCAACAAAGGACGCATGATGACTTGGGTCCCGAACCAAAGCATTGGGACCGTTGTCTTCGTTTTAGTCTCTCGGGAACAATACGTCTAAACGAGCCACGGGACCGAATTCATTTAGCAAGTCGGTACCATTTAGTTATTTAACACAGTCTTTAATTGAGCACGCGGAGGTGTCCTACCTTATACCATCACAGGCTGTGGAGGCTTGTTGTGTCTGATGCCGTCTGTGTCCTCGCACCGCTCGCGCGCCTCTCAAATGGCGTTGCGTTCCTGTGTTCCTCGTAAAAGTCAAATTCCAGCCGCAGGATCTAACACGGAAAATTTGTTTGAACAAATTACCATTAAATTAAAAGACGGATGGTTTAACAAAATTAAGATATCTTTAAAAACAAATTGTACTAAATAATCAGTTTAATTTAGCAGACAACCATTACATTTCCTTAGAGTTATCTAAAGTAAAACCAGTAACCAACTAAATAATATTATCATCCAAAGCGCAACAAGCAACATCACTTGAGTTCTCTGGTACTGACATTAAATCCATACATAGATTACCTATGCAGTAATCCTTTTTTTAGGTGATTCAAACGTCGGGATCTCATAATTGCAGAATTCCCGATTTCCCGTGAAGCCACCAGCTACTCGTCACTAGAGGAGGTGGAGAGAAATTTCGACTCGTGTTTTGATGTGGTGAACTGGGGGGGACGCTAAAATGTCATCTGACTGCTACCCATGCGATGTGTACCTGTCTGCCAACTCTTTGACTACTTCTGAGCCATATTTGATGATGAATAATCTCTTTACTGACACATCAACAGAAATCCCCCACTAATGACGGGGGACACCAAAGCTGCAGCAAGCTTTGACTTCTAGTCAGTTATTAGCAGTCAGTGAGTCAGTCAGTGTGAAAACAAATAACTTTTATTATTATTTGTATTGTATATTTCAAATTTGAGCTGTTATAGGCCCACTAAATGTCACTTTACCTTTATATACTTGTACTTAGGATATTGTTTTACAAACTGTTTACACCTCTTTATATATATATATATATATATATTTTCTACTTCTCATTATGCATATATATGTAATACATTACACATTATTTCCTTTTAATGTGTTGTATTCTATCCTTGTATTTCAACTGGCTCTATCTGTGTCTTAGATTCTCATTTTTGTGTGAATTTCTGAGTTGGAATATCACAGCAGAGAAGTCACTTCCTGAAGCAGCGGTCCATATTTGTGGAGCAATAAATAAATTCCACAACTACAAGGACTCTTTCAGTGTAGCAACTGGCGTCAAATTAGCCAAATTTGAAAATGATGGGCTACTTTTATTTTTATGTTTACCCAAAAAGCAGAATGGAAGTATGCCCTAAAGTTGCGTGATCCATTTAGTGATGGCTGGATGATTGATTCACTGAAAATTACACAGCTAAGCACTCTTGTTTGTGTGAATGTATAGTTGTGCAAACAGAGCTGTTTTCAAACTGTGCCATGAATCATAGCATCTCACATTATTCACGCTTAACCACAAAGTTTTTCCCAAATGCAAAGACAGCAAATATATCCAGGCTGAAGGTTAATGCGGACAGTGTTAAACAAGCAGGGACAAAACAACACAAGGATAAGAAAGACAGAGTGCGCCTGATGGAGCTTGTATTCGTGTGAAACTGTAAAACTGGCATGAAAGCTCTAAAGATTCCTCTCGCAAACTAGAAATTATTTTTCTTTGAACAAATGATTTGCTTCAGGAAAAATATGCAATCAATTGATGCCATCATGCAACACAATGTCCTGCTGTGAATCTCTGTGAAAAGATAAGGACAAAGTAAACACGTTACAATCCTCTCTTCTATTGCTTTTAGAGTGCAGTTTGTTCTCTTAAGTGCCTGCGAGAATTGACACCAATGTATAATTTCATCATAACACGTGGGTCTGTCTGAACCGCCGTGCCGAGGCATTGTTTATGAACGTTTCGTTTTTTTGTGAGTCTGGAGCTTTTGGTCTCCCACTGGTTGCTCATATAGCCGTGGTAGGTACACAGTCATCCACACCCTGTCTCTTCCCCCACCCCACCCCATCTAAAAAAAGCCTGCTGTGGTTAAGGACAGAAACCATGTGGGAAGGAGTCTGGCTGCTTCCAGGCTCGCCCGAACCCATTGAGGAGGAGCAGTGGAGCTGAGGACAGAGGGACTACTGTCTCTCTCTCTCAGCTGCATGTAAAAAAACACAAACATACACTTCATTTCCATCGAAGGCCATAGAAATATCTTCATTTCCTGTTGTTGAATACGTCTATTTACAACTGCTTCCTCTCTCCATACTCTCTCTCATTCCTCTCACCTGTTTTTTTTTTTGGCTTGTGATGTCGGAAGGGGAAAGTCAGTCGGCAGCCTCTCGGTGCAGCATGACCGTGTTTTTCCATGGAAAAGACACAAAGAAAATAGAAACGACGACAAGAAAGAAAGAGAAAGGATGGTTTCTACAGGACACCTCCTTCATCGGACACCAAATATCCACGAAAAAATGAGCAGTTGAAAACAGTCTCAGCTGTAGCTCAAGAGGTGCATGTGGTTGAGGTCTTTGCCACTAACTGATCACCATGAGGCACCTGTGTGACACAATATCTGCCAGTAACCAGTGGAGGCGTTTGCAGCCTGCAAAAAACATGTCTAATTTGAGAAGATCCTGTGAAGTCTGTGGCATAAGAGGCGAGCTCGGGGAGAGGAGGAGGAGGAGGGCATGACACGAATGGGCTGGAAGTGGCTTTCTGACCACATACTGAGACAACGGATAGGAAAAGGAATTCCAATGGATGGCCTCTTCAATCCCTAAATGGCTCCGGAGACACAGAGGGAGAGAAGTATATCCCACTTGGGATTAAACATGTCGAGGCCTGGCTCCTTTTTGGAGGATTAAGGTTTCGGACTGAAGCAACAAAAACAGGCAAACAAAGGAAAAAAAGTCCTCGGGGAGGTCTGTGAGAGTGAAATCCCTCCTCATCTTTACCTTCAAATTCCCAACAGAGGGTGAGTGGTCTGCAAGGGTCCCGCTCTAGCATGAAATCCCTGTCACGATGTACCGTCGACAAGTCTGCTACTGCCCAGACAATGAATTCCTCTTAATCCAGTGGTGCATTTAGGGACAAGAGGTGAGTTTGTGACAGTCCATTATAGGATTCACCTCTTCGGTTTATGTCCAGCAACTTCAAAATTGGCAAAAGTCATGAACATTCTGCACTTGTGGTAGGTTTCAACCATAGGAATCAGACCAAATCCTCAAAAACATCTTAACAATCCTCATTTATCAATAATTTGGTGTGTGCTAAATGTTGACAAAGGCTTAGATTTTGGGTGCAAACTTATCTAAAAAAATGAAGCCACGTTGCCAAATATATTTTAGATTTAGTGGCCTATAATTTGTAGCTGAAATGTTTATTGCTGAGTTTCAGACACGTCTGTCCACGCTATTTTTTAAGTTGTAGCTTTGTTAAATAAAGCTCAATAACATTGGTTGTTTCCCCAGGTATCAAAACCTCATTATTCATTTCAACAAGGACAAACAAGTGTCATCGTTCCTATGGTGTAAATGAGAGGAACTGAAACGGCCTTGAAGTTCAATCATCAATCATTTTGGCCAGTGAGTTCTTAATCTTCTTCAAATTTAGGAATTTAGGAATTATACAAAGTTCAGAGTCTGTTGTGTATACAAGGAGGAGGATTGAGTGAGCGTGCATTGTTTTCATTTCTACATTCCTGTGCTGTTTTTCTTAACTTCAACATGTGAAGTAACAGTGTTGTCCTGATGAAAAGGGTTCAATCGTGGTGTTAAAGGTTAAATCCACATCTTACGGGCAGAAAACTGCTGCAGTCTAAAGGGGTTGAAACTTTCTGTGCATTCTGACACCCATACTAGTTTACTATTTAGTGTGCCAGAAAGTAAATTTATTATTTCACAATACATAGTATTTCAAATACACAACATGCCAAAAATATCAGGATATCCTTCGGCATCTGCTTGCATTATGCAGCATGCAAGCCAGCCGGCTTTTCTAGGTATTCTGACACACAATCCTTTGCATTCTGTGTGCAACAGCACGTACTTTGGCTGCAGTCATACATATATAAATTGCATTGTTACATTTGACTGCTTGTTTAGGCTGTTGTTTACCAGCATTGTTGTTCAGGGGTTTCATGTGCGTCTGCTCAGTCCTTTGCATGAGCGCGCACTACATGTCAGATTTACCAGCTAAAGTGTGTGTGAGTGTGTGAAAATATGTGAGTGCACATGCAATCAGATACGTTTTTTGTGTGTGTGCATGTATGTCCCCACATACAGTGGGTACGGAAAGTATTCAGACCCCTTTAAAT